CAATTGTGCTGAGTTGACGTTTTTCATCGGAAGAGCTGAATGTGGTTCATTTTTGGAAGTTATAAGATTTTCAATGATGAGCGGTGGGATTACGCGTTTGTTTTATGTAATGAGTGAAAATTTTGATCTGTTGTATTCGTTGATTAAAGCAATTTCTTTGGTTTCGTTGGAAGTTGAAAGTAAAATTTGCAGACAAAATTGTATACTTGCCGATGAAATGGGTTTGGGAAAAACTGTACAAACGATTTGTTTTCTGCAACGGGTATACGATTACGGGATTCATGGACCGTTCTTGATCGTCGTTCCACTGTCGACGATTCACAATTGGCAACGAGAATTCGAGACGTGGACCGATATGAATGCGATTGTTTATCACGGAAGTTCGGCCAGCAGACAGCTGATCGAGCAATCGGAATTCTACTATCGAACGGATGATTTGAAGGTGTGCTTCGATGAGAATCTTGCATTGAATTTATATTCATTGAATGTTGCATTCGAATTTACCATTTAATAAAGGATTTCGTAGTTGGGAAAGGTAATGGATTATTGTTTTCAGTCGAGTAAGAAAGGTGTTGTGAAGTTTGATGCGTTAATAACGACGTTCGAAATGGTCGTTTGCGATTGTGAGATACTCCGTAAAATTAATTATCACGTTTGTGTGATCGACGAGGCGCATAGACTCAAGAATCGCAATTGTAAATTGTTAACCGGAGGTTGGTTGTCTTATATTCTACTGAATTATTGCCATATTTGTGATAGTCATATTGATAATAGTGATGATGGTGATAGTAATGGTAGTAACAATAATAATAATAATAGTAATAATTGTAATATGATAATAATAATAATGATAATAATAATTATTATTATAACAATAATAATAGTAATAATAATAATAGTAATAATAATGATAATAATGTCAATGGTGTCGTAAATACTGATAGTAGGTGGTTTTCTGTGTGGATATTGGTGAATTCAGCCAGTGCTTATGAATGTTGTATGCATAGATTCAGGTTTGCTGTCGTTCACGGTCGAGCATCGATTGCTCCTAACCGGTACACCACTGCAAAACAACATCGAGGAGTTGTTCTCGTTGTTGAACTTCCTCGAGCCACAACAATTCCACAGTTCAAGCGCATTTCTGGAACAATTCGGACAGTGTCAAACCGAAGATCAAGTGCAAAAACTGCAGCAAATTCTTAAACCGATGATGTTGAGACGTTTGAAAGAGGACGTCGAAAAGACACTTCAACCCAAAGAAGAAACCATCATTGAGGTAGGTACACGTCCGGTTTCAATTCTATCAGTCATGAATTTTTTACTTTTTATTTTTTGAGCATTTGACATCAGTGAATCTGATTTCCCTTTTTGATTTGTGAGATATTTAGTGCCTTTTTTTNTTTATTCATTTGTTTTATTGGTGAAAATTGAAGGTGCTGAAGAGCAAATTCTGTCGGAGATGAAGAGCGTTCATCCGGACAAGAATGAGGAAGAATTGTACCAACATGCTCTAGTGCAATCGTCCGGTAAATTAGTGCTTATCGCTAAACTGCTACCGAAATTGAGAGCCGATGGACACAAGGTTTTGATATTCTCACAAATGGTTCGTGTACTCGACATTATCGAAGAATTTCTGGTTGCGCATGGGTAAGTTTCTTGTGCTATTGCATCAGTTTTATACTCTTTCATGAAAGCTTCTGTTATTTGTATTTGAATATCATTAAACTGCCTAAATACTATTGATCACTTTCAAATTCTTCGATTATAATCACGTTGTGGAATAGGAACAACAATAAGTGTTTTTTAAAACTTCCTAATGAAATCCTCTCTATGTTGTTAGTTCGTTCTCTCCTTGGAGTCGTCAATGAAACGTTTCCAGATATTTTTGTTTTGAAATTATGATTTGAAAATGGAAAATTGATTTGCAGTTACACATTCGAACGAATTGACGGAAATGTACGTGGTGATTTGCGACAAACAGCAATTGATCGATTCAGTAAGAAAGGTATAATATTATTGTGGTTATGCATTAAGGTTAAGGCATAAAGTGTACATTCGTTAAGTAAAAAATTCGGAAAATTTTTAGATTTTATGCATTCGAGAGGAAATAAAGTGGATGGAAGTGAAAAGTTTGAATTCATTTGTACGAAATTTAAGATTCGGATCGATTCGTTTTCTTATTGTGTACACGTGCTGGTGGCTTAGGAATCAACTTGACGGCGGCGGATACCGTGATCATTTTCGATTCTGATTGGAATCCACAGAATGATTTGCAGGTGAGGAACATGAAGCTTCTTTTTTTTGTCAAGTAACATTCAACAGACATTGTTTAGTGAATGTTTGATGCGATATTCATAAAATGTTGTNATAATTTTTTTTGTAAAAATGGCGATGAATAGCAGTAGTGGAACTTAATGGTTATAAATGTTATGAATTAATAGGCACAAGCTAGGTGTCATCGTATCGGGCAGACAAAAATGGTGAAAGTGTATCGGTTGATCACTTGTAATACGTACGAACGAGAGATGTTCGATAAGGCATCACTGAAACTCGGACTTGATAAAGCCGTTTTGCAATCAACAACCGCACTCAAAGACACATCGGTTGGTGTTTGGAAACGTTGTGTTGATCGATCGTGTTGATTTTATTGTTTTGTCGATTAATTTCCATGTTGATTTGTTGTTTTTCAGCAGCAATTGAGTCGTAAAGAAATCGAAGAATTGCTCAAAAAAGGAGCGTATGGTGCGATTATGGATGAAAGTAATGAAGACAGCAAATTTAATGAAGAGGATATTGAAACGATTCTGTTGAGACGAACAACTACTATTACACTGGAGGTTTGGATTTGGATTAGTGTTGTTGTTTTTTAGTGAATATTTCTTTCATTAATAGTATTGTGATGGTTATCAATGGTTGTCATTATTATTATCGTAAATTGTAATTAGTATTATTATTGTTGTTGGTATTGTATTGATTGTTATTTTGTTTGTCATATATATATTAGTTTTGTTGCTTTTCATTGAGATATTCAGCAATTTGTTTTGATTAGTATGATTGTTCGAGCAGCAGTATAGTAAATTGGGATGATTTGGTTTAAGGCTGGTGTGAAAGGCTCAACGTTCGCGAAAGCATCGTTCAATTCGTCGACGAATCGTGAGGATATCGACATTGATGATCCAAACTTTTGGTCAAAATGGGCGAAGAAAGCGAATATCGACACCGAAATCAATCAAATAGATAAGGAATTGATCTTGTTGGAGCCGAGGAATCGTAAGAAAAGGTTAATTTTCGGTGAAGTTTCATATTGTCATTGATGAATTTGTTGCTTATTCGCCATATGGTAGCTTCATCATATGTGGTCTGCTGCTGTCAACTATCAATCAGAATTTCAGTTATTTCCAATTTCCATTTGAAAATCAAAATGTTCTTAAAAACTTTGTAAGTAGCGATTAGTACGATTGATAAATTCAGATTCGAAGAGACTGTCTATAAGTCGGAGGCTGGTGATGATAGTGAAGCTGAGGAGAGTGATGCGAGTAGTGCGGTGGCAACCGGAAAGGGAGGCAGTCGCAAGCGAGGTGAGCGGAAGAATGACCGAAAGAGACGTCGTGAGGACGAGGAATATCGACCGGATGAGTTGGCATTCAACAAGAGTGAATACTTCAAAGTGAGTGCTAAAAAACACACTTAGGAGACACATTTCATTTGATTTTGATTAGATTATCGGTCAGTTCTTGATAAATTATATGAAATGCTTCATGGCATTCGACATTTTAATGAGATGAAAAAGTGTTAAACTTTACGAGAATTAACAAATTTTTAATAGATTTGAGATTGCACGGGAAATATAAAAACTATGTTGAGGAACATGAAATTTTTAAAAGTTAACTTGAAGTCAGTGGCGTAGTCAGGAGTTTTCCTGAGGAGGTGAGGGAAGGGATGAAGAATGATCCAGTACAAAACAGTAAATGAATTTCGGCTACGCCATTGATTGGGATCGACGATTTCCAATGACTGTAAGAGTTAAGGTTGAAAAGTTGTTGGCTCAATACGGTTGGGGCAGATGGAAAGCAATGCGTGACGCCAGCGATCTGAAAGAGAGTGTATCTGAGGCAGACATTGAGCATATCTCGAGGTAGTGTGTTGCGATTTTTGGTTGTTAATTTGAACTAATCACGGAAGTGTTCAGGAAAAATGAAAAAACAAAAGAAAAATCAAAGCTCTTGAAAAAGTCGAGCGATTTTCCACAAATATCTGAAAAGGCGAACAAAATGTTTGATTTGTAGAACATTGCTGTTGCATTGTATTCGAGAGTACCGCGGTGATGAGAAAGTTCGTGAATTTGTTTGGCGTTTAATCGTACCAAAAGGTGGACACGTTGTCGGCAAATCACTGTCCAAGGGCAAAACATCGACGAACAATCTAACGAATGTTTTCCACGAAGGATGGGCCGCACTGCCCGAATACAATCCACCAGCGTTCGCCGTCGATTCGTCCTTCCAAAGGTATGCGATTCGAATTGTTCAAGAGATGAAATCAGATCGTTGTTTTGTGAACATTTTGGTGGTGCTGAGCATTTAGTAGTAGTATTGATAAGATGTAGATGTCTCAATGTGTTAATTTCATTTGCGTCAGTAGTCGATGCATTTGTATTTTAAGGTTTGTTGTTAATAGCGTGTAGAGTTGTTGAGTGAATTTTAGATTCGAGCATTTTTTTGATATGATGAATATATGAGAAAAATATAAATGTTTTTCAGGCATGTGCATCGTCATGCGAACAAACTATTGGTTCGTATGCATCAACTGCACATTCTTAACACTGAGGTACGTCCTACTTTATCGTATTTTCACTTTATTTGGATTAGTTTCGTTGTGGTTAGGTGAAAGATTCTTATTTTTTGATCTGTTTTTTTTTGCATTCACATTTTTTGTTGGTTTATTCATCTGTTTTTGTGCATTTTATGCATTCATTCGTGTTTTCTGTTTGATTCAATAAGATCTCCGGTTTGTATTTCAGTTCAAATAAATACAGGTAATAGTGAATTGAGTATTAAGCTGATTGAGAGCATTGTTGGTGAATTAGAAAGTTGTGATAATTGACTTTTATGGGAAGTAGTTGTGTGATAGATGGATGGAAGATAGACAAGAACATGAGTGCGATGCCACGTCTTGTAATAGTCGTAGATTGATGATTAACAATCGAGCGGATTAGCTGGATTGAATGATTTTGAGTGTTATGATAGCGACATGGTGGTGATAATTACGAGTGTTCCATACATTCATTGCATTAACCGGGTTGAAATGTGAGATGTGCATTGTGAAAAAAAACCTGAAATTAATTTCAGGTGATTGGCAGTCGAAGTGAAGCGATAATGAGTGGAACGAAAGCGAGTGAGGTGGATTTAGGAGTGGATATGAACGAGCCGTTTGTGAGTGGATGGGATAATGAATGCGATAAAAGTTTCTTGATTGGAGCACATAAACATGGTATGATGGATGTGTATCGCATCTCGTTTCAATAATTCATCANATATGTAGAAATTGGTTGCTCTACTGTCTTCTTTCAGAAGAAGAAACAACAGCTGAATATTGAATGCCAATTTGGATATTCGTAGTGATTGATGCAATAAGTACAAAATAGATCTGTGGTGATTACAGCAGCAGAATAAGAATGAAACATTTTTTTGTAGGTGTTGAAAACTATGAAGCAATGCGATCGGATGAAGCGTTATGCTTCGCGACGAAAACAATTGAGACGTTTCCGACGGGTGCTGAGCTATTGGGCCGATTCAGGAGATTGCTGATGCATTTCCAACGGAAACGCAACGATGCTTTGTCCGCTTTAACGTTGGTATTTGAAGGAATTTTTTCCAGCTACTTCAGTGATTCAAAAAAAATTTTTTTTCAAGCTAATACCATCAGAGGGAAGATACTTTTGGCCATAACTGCTTAGCCACTTGAGATCGAGGCCTCATATTTGATCGGTAAGTGGTACTGGGAAAGATCTTCCATCTGATGGTATTAGCTCGAAAAAAAATTTGAAATTTTTCAAAATTCAGAGCCTCATACGCTAGGCAGGAAGAGGAGAGTCTGCTCTATTCCCATGCAAAAGGATTCGTCTCAATAATAAGTCCTAGTAATGTTATGAGGCTCTGAATTTTGAAAATTTTCAAAAATTTACGATATGCAGCGAATAAAAGAAGAACGAGGCAAGCTGGTAGCGGCGCTTTCTAGCAGTTGCATAAAAGAGTGGAATGATTGTTGGATTTGTTGCTGTTTGGATTGTTGCAAATTGCTTTTGCAGATGGTCAAAAAGAGAAGAGGCCGAATTCATGCGCGTACTGCGAAGTTATGGTGTGAAAGACGACCCGTCAACGATCATCTCTTGGGCACGCTTCAGACAACTGTCGCCGTTGTTGGAGCATAAATCCGATAGTGAACTGATGGAACAGTTGTATTGTGTGCTGTCGATGTGCACAAAACAATTAGGCAACGAAATGTCGACGGTGGATTTGCAAAGGGCCTTGAAGGTTGTCGTTTTTAGGGTTGCGATTCATTTATTTCATTTGTATTATTTGTTTGTTTACTTCTTTATTCATTTATTTATTTACTTATTTGCTTATTCATTTATTTATTTATATGTTTGTTGTTCAGTATGAGAACATCCTATTGTGTGTTTGTTCGTCAAAGATCGTAGCATCTGGTAGCGTTTAGTTCTGTGTGGAATTTTTAGTGTTTAAGTACAACTACTGATAACTGAATTGAGGTAATAGTTTGTAGAGCTTTCATATATTGAGCAGAGTATGTGTTCATTGATTTTGGTGGTGGTATACATTGATTTAGGAAATGTAATAATCCAAGAAAATAAGTGATAATTTGGAATGATGGAGAGTGTGTTTAAGGTTGAGCCGATATCAGCTCGTAAAGCGCAAAAATTGATGCATCGAATGAATATGATGCGTCAAATTCACGATTGGGCAGATTCGCTGCCGAATAGGAATAAACTTCTGAAGCTGTGCTCGAATGAGGCGATGCCGAACGGATGGACCACTGAGCAGGATAACGATCTGTTTACAGTGGTCGATATGAACGGCTTGGACAACATTTCAGCGAATATCGCGCATCGTCCGGCGTTCCAGAAAGTAATTGTTTGCTTTTTGAAATTATCGTTTCGATGGATTCTTCTTTGGTTTTTTTGGTTTCAGTGAATGAATTTGTTTAGCAATGCACTGATTTAGAAAACAAATTGATGAAAATTCTATAGGTTTCTTAGAGATGTATTTGTTTTGAGTTTATTTTTATGAGCGTTTGTGTTTCTTTATTTATGAAGACTTCTTTTGGTTAAATGAAGTTCTTTATATGGCGACGGACAGATCTGTTGTTGTTTTGATAAATTTCTAGCGAGCTTTATAGGTTGAGAGTGGCATGTCAGACTTAATCGTAACATTAAAATTGTTTTATTGCAGATCATTCGACCTGAAGAGAAGACTTTACTGAGGCGTGTTGCTGAGATTTATACGACGTTACAGACGAAAAAGTGGAATGGAGCTGCTTCAATTGAGCTGCTGGAAGATTCAGGTTAGGGGAATGGCGATTCATCAGATGTTATTTAGAGAACTGTGTTCGTTGATTGGTGCGTGCACATTTTGACCGTTGCGCATTCGGAATGTCATATATTGAGCATATGCTGGGTCGAGCTATCCGAGATGATGTGCCAATCGAATTCAATTACTTGTTTGAAGGGTTGATCAATTTATTGGAAGAATTTTTGTTATGATTTGAAGTGATCAGATCGCGTTTGTAAAAGCACTAACCGGTCAATGAGGGTCAAATCAGAGGTGAAGACGTAAGAAAATTGCAGATGAAGAGCGATCCACACCACTACAGTCTCGGATTAGAAGAGGACGTAAGAAGGGCGCTACCGCAAGTGGTAGTTCACTATCGAATGGAGGCGCAGCAATGCGAGATCTGGTCGATGTGGAAAAAGAGAAAATGCGAGCGCTTGTACATCAATCCTTCTTGCAAAGGGTAAGAGTTGTGGATGAAATAAATTTTAGAACTTTACTTTCTTTAGTTTGACACGTTTATTCTAATCATCTAAGAGGTGAAGTGCCCTGTTAATCCACAACTGGAAATTTTAAGAGAGAATCTATCTCGATATAGAGAAAGTGAGATGAAATGAATGATGGATTTTTGTTTTAGTTGGAACAAATACCGTTAGCAGCGGCAGCCGCAATGGCACAAGGTGCGTTTTTGTTACCGCAACTTCTCGGAGGCACCGGAAGTCCGTCTGCTGGTGGTGCAGGAGGAGCATCGAGTGCAGCAGCACTGAGCGGAGCTCTAGGGGGATTACCTCTATCCGCAGCTGGATCAGCACAACAGCTCTCCAACGATCAACAACAGCAACAACTTGCCCTATTGTCGTCACTTTTCGGCATCCCACCTTCAGCGCTCGCATCGCTAGGTCTTAGCGGCGCTAGTCTACCGTCGTCGATGGGTGCCGTAACCTCTTCGTCCAGTATTCCATCTGCATCACAATCATCCTTATTGTCTTCAACATCGTCAGCAGGAGGCGGAGGTGGATCATTCAAGAGCGGTGGATCTGGAGCAGGATCTCATCCGAACACGCCATCAACTAGTCGTGTTTGCGCTTCGAGTGCTGCTGCTGCCACTCCGAGCACCAGTGGTGCGAATGCGAATGCGATTGTAGCGGCCAATGTGCTCAGCTCTATAATTGATCAGCATCAGCAGCATTTCAGTCAGCTTTCTCAGCCACATCAACACCAACAACACAGTGCTTCATCGTCGTCAACATCCGGAAGCAATACGACGACAACAGTTGGAGGTGAAGATGCGCTGAATTTGAGTACCAAACGGCATTCAGTTTCAAGTAGTAGCGGTGGTGGCAGCAGTAGCCAGTCGATTGCAACTGCTACAACAACCGCTACAACAACGCCTGGCTCGATGACATCGACAAGTGCTCCATCCTCTTCAAGCACCACGACGACGACGAGCACAACGACTGCGTCGAATGCGTCTGGAACGGGTGCAGCCGGATCAGTGCACAGAACCTCTTCGACGCACCATCATTCGTCTTCGTCTACATCATCGACATCATCTGCCAAAGGTTCGCAACAACAAACCTCAGGTGTATCGCCGTCATTTGCCGGTATATCCGCGAACATAACATCAACATCAGCTCTACCGGCATCATCTCTGGTCGCTGCAACAACTTCATCGTCTACAAGCGGCGGCTCACATAATGCGAGTTCTTCATCAGCCACTAGTGGTAGCGGTAGTGCTAACAAACACCATTCTACTTCAGCACTCATCAACACGTTGAATTTCACGGAATTGCTCGCATTGGCTAATCTACCACCTGGTAAGTTGTTTTGTGCGGAGTTTGTTTGGTGTTTTTGAAGTTTATTTGATGATTGATCAGTTCGTATTGCTGCTTGTTTGTGTGGTTTTTTAATTGTTTGTTCGTGTATCGTTGAATTTTTCAGAGAACTTTTTTGAAAATTGATAGGTTTCTGTTGTTTGCGTATTGGTGAATTATATTGTTTTTCAGATTTATTTCAATTATTTTCGTTTATTTTTGTTTATTTAGCTATTTTGATCATTCAGTGTGTATGATATATTGTAATTGTTGTATGGTCATTCTTTTGCTGCAGACTTGCTCGGTGTGCAGCAAATGAGATTTTTTTGGTATTGTTACGATTCAGATCGTTGTTTTACATTCGTTTGCTTGCTTGTTTCTTTTTCTAAGCTCAGTTTTTTTGCGAGTTTTCAGAAACTCGCGTTCCGGTTGTCAATGTTGAGAGTGGTCTACGATTGACCGGTGATGAAGCACCGAAAGTCAAGAATCTTGGCCAGTGGTTATCGGCACACCCGAAATTCGTTCTGGACATTCCGTCCGGAGCGGATACTGCGCATCGTTCATCATCGCACACGGCAACCGCTACTGCAAGCACTCCGACTTCGACATCGAAGCATTCAAACGATAAATCGTCGTCATCCTCTTCTGAGAAGAAAACGTCATCGTCCAGCGATAGGTTGATCGCAGGCAGTGGTAGCAGAAGCAAGGATGATACGTCAGTGACTCGTCACAGCAGTCGTAGTGATCAGTCAAAGGTGAATGAGTATTCATTGAATAGTTTGTAATTTTAGGATGCAGTTCTAATCGCCTTCATTCGAAATTTATTTATTTGAAATGTTCGGTTAGAACTGAAAAAAATGAGTATCAATTTGAAAATGAATCGAATTTCTGTTGCTAAAGGATTGAGTTTGTTTCGGATCGTCTTCTTGCAGTGTTGTTATTGCAATGTCTTGTATATGATAGTGTATCACATTCCACAGATTAGTGTGGATGTTCCTTTCGGCCTAAATGCTTAATTTTTGAAGGCATTTTTCGTTTCGGTGTTTCCACAATTGCAAAATTGTAGTTTTGAATGTATTTGTATTCTTGTACGTATGAAAGTAACCTTCTATCAGAGCCATCCAAGCGAATCTGTCTTTTAGATTGAAGTGAATAATAATTCACTACCCGTATAACTCGTAGTTTTCGTATGAGAACCGTCTCAATCGGTCGTTGTTTCAGGATGCTTCATCATCGAAGGCCGTCGCCTCTAAATCATCCACCACTGCTCTATCTCTAGAACCCGGTGAGATTCCGAAACCGTCGTGCTCATCGTCCTCGGCCGCCGCCTCGTCAACATCGCTTGGCATCGGTTCATTGGCCGAACAACCAGTGGCGGTTTTCGATCGAACCTCCGGTCAGCTACTATCGGCTGATCGATGGCCTTCAATCAGATCGTTGGCCAGTTGGCTCGATAAACATCCCGACTGTAACGTTCACTCATCATCCGCTACTCTTGCAGCGGTTGGTGTTCATTTGGAATTTGAAATTTGACGCTTTCTATAGACGTACGCATGGAATTTGATAGTCTCATAGAATTTGATAGATAGTACGTGGAATAGAATATACATGGTAGAGTATGTAGTATCATAGAATGTTATAATATGTACATGGTATAATGGCATTACAATGCATGGTATTATGGTATAAAGGTGTTACAATACATGGTATAATACCATGGAATTTGATTTACAAGCTCCCAAAAATAACATGATAGAATGATAGTCTCAAAATAGAATAATGGAATGATAGTCTCAAAAAAATAGAATAATAGTGATGTTCCTTTTCAGGCTGTTCTATCGAAACGTTATAATGATCGTTTGGGTGGAGAGGCGAATATTTTGGCGGCCGCAGCCGCAGCGTTGAATGCGACGAGCAGTGGAATTGGCGGTGGTGCATCGTCGTCGGCGAGCAGCCTTGAGGCACTGCAGATGCAGTTGATGTTACAACAGGCGCTCATGAACCCGAGTTTGCTCTCGTTGGGTGGATTGTGCGGCTATAGTCCACTGAATCCGTACGCTATGCTTGCCGCAGCCACCACGACGTCACCATCGGTTTCGTCGAGTAAAGTGCGTTGTTTTGTTTTTGAGTTTTATTTGTTTGAATTTGAGGTTTTTGTGCAATTATCTTCATAATTCCTCTTCTTTATTTATTATTCTTCATTATAAAAAAAGAGTATCAATTTGAAAATAAGTCGATTTTCTATTGCTACAGGATTGAGTTTGTTTCGGATCGTCTTATTGCAATGTTGTTATTGCAATGTCTTATACATGATAGTGTATCACATTCCACAGATTAATGTGGATGTTCCTAAACTTTTTGTCTAAGCCATGCTTTTCAGTCTGTTCTATCGTCTTGCAATTATCATTCTATTTGTTTGTTCTTTTTTTTTTCTTCAAGGTCCTTCGTTTGTTTCCCACTTTTTTCACTTTTATATATTTGTTCATTTGATTATCAGTTTGGTTTATCGAATTTTGAGCAAAATTTCCTCCACAAAACTGGAACATGTAAAGGAGGGAACAGTTTCTATTGAAATGTTCTGTTTCTTTGGTATTTTTTAAATTGACTGCTTATCGTATGATGCATTTCTTTTTCAGATGAGCAGTGGAAATGGCAATTTATGTGGTCTTTCACCTGGTACTGCAGCAGCAGCAGCGAATCTGCAATCTTCGTCAATGTCTCTGCCCGCTATGCCTTCCTCTTCGACGTCGTCAAGTGCGCAGTCATCGTCCAAAACAAGCGGCGGCGTTCCATCATCAGCAGATTTACTGAATCCGATGTTGGCATCGTTGATGGCCGCTCATGCCGCAGCTGCAACATCAGCTGCATCATCTCCGTCGAATGCTGCCGCCCTTCAGATGCAACAACAAATGCAATCGCTGCTTGCATTCGACCCGTCTCTACTGTTCGCTGCACAAAACCTTGTTGCATCATCATCCAGTAGCATGAGTGGATTGCCTTCGCCATTCACATCGATTGGTGCTGGTGGTCTTAGTTCGCATCGTAGCAGCGGCAGCAGTAGCCATACGGCTGCCGTTTCCACATCAGCATCCAATCATCATGCTCACCCGTCATCAACTGCTGCTGCGGCTGCTTCCTCATTGCTCTCATCGTCATCGATAAGTTCCACGACATCCGCATCTTCGCAGTTATCGAATCCTTTGGTGGCCACAACAACTGCGACATCATCCACCGGTATTACAACACCAACCCCAACTCGTAAGCATTCATCAACTCCAGCACTGGCCATCTCATCATCGTTACCATCCTCATCGGCCGCTTCATCAACAACAGTGTCGTCTTTGTCAACCACAACAGCCAGTGGAATTTCAGCGAATTCACCGGTGACGACTGTAACTAGCAGTAGCAGTAGCGGTAATTCAACTAAACAACAAGCGAGTAGTAGTAGCAGCAGTTCGAGCTCAGCAGCTGTGAACAGCACCACTACAGAGAGTGGTTCGAGTTCGGGAACAGTTGATACGGGTTCTGCAAGTGCTACTACAAGTGCCGCGAATGTTGGCGCTACGGTGATGAGCACGAGTACAACAAGTTCAAGTTCAGCGCGGAAAGCATCCTCAGCGAAAGGACGTCTGAATGCGGTGCTTGAGAAGCTGTCGTCGTCATCTTCGTTGGCTTCATCCCCTTCGAATCAGTCATAGCTTGGCGATTGATGCATAGAGTGATTGCTATTTGATAATTAAGAAGGGTATATTTGAGCTGATAAGGTTTCAGTGAATTTGATCACTTGATTTGCAATGTATTGTGTTGTAGCAAAATCTTATATGATATACATATATAAGTAAGTGTATATATATATGTGAGAAAATTGTTTCGGTTTGAATGTTTTTGGTTTAATTTATTCATTCAATATGTTCATTGATTGGTCGTTTATTGCTTATTTTCAGTTGTTGTTGTTCATCCTCCATCGATTGTACTGTTCATTATATGTAATTGATCATTCAGTGAATACTTGTATTGTTCGGTTTGTTTTATTTATTAACTTGTACAAGGTTCTTCGTAAAGTTAATTCATTTGATCAGTTTTATGTCAACGACTAACACTGAAGGCGGGCGGAATCCACGTACTTGTTTTTCTCATTGAATTTCTCATTGCATTGATTTTCTTGTTAATTGCTTATGTGTATGTGTGTTTGTGACATCGACGGCCTCTTCACTCCAGACGATATTCATTTATTCGTATTTGTTGGTTCTGTTTTATTGTGCATACACACAAGTAGTGTGAGTGCAGAATTTGGTAGTTATATCGCAAATTCTTTTCAGTTGCGAGTTTCTCAATTTTTGACGATTCATTTTTTATTGTTTGGCTGTTAGTTATGAATTGTTATTGACAAACGAACGCACGCATCTCGCTTATGTAAGGTTTTTGTCAGGTTGAGTTAGTTCATTTGATGTTCTCATCGAAATCTTCATTAAGTACCGTCACAGAACCACTGTTACAATTCAACAAATACACACATACACACACCGTAACAAAGCTTAAAAGTACAACGATTTTTTGGTACGTGTCTAATTTGATCGTGTTTTTTAATCATTCAGCAAATGAGACTCATCAACTATGTGTAATAATCTAACGAGTGAATATTTCTGTTCGTTTCTTTACAAATGGTTTTTTTTGTCTTAATATCGTTTCATTTTGTTGGAATACCGGTGTTATATGAGTACGTTTGTCTGTTTGTGTGTACAATTTATTGTGTGCAGCGTTTGTGTTTGGTTACCCTAATTTGTTTTTNTTTTTCAAATGTCAACTTATCAATAGTTAAACTCATCGTTTATCGAATTATACTGCTGCTTATCGGTTCTATATCACGTTTGTTCGATAGCCACACCATTCAGTTCCACCTTTTCCTCACTGTTGTCTCATTGTTATGGATGTTTTTTAAAATTTTAATACGAAACAGACCGATAATTTTCTGTTCCATCACGATTTTGATAGTTAGCAGTAGGTCGTTGAGCGCCATACAAGTCATCTCACGCAGATGAATACCTAGATGTTGGAGATCACGTTATATAGCGATGCGCATCGAACGAGATCACATTCTTATGAATCCGAGGTTTCTTAAACTCGTGTATGCGCGCGAGCGCGAGAATGTTACTAAATCAATGTATCATTGATTCTTTTGGTTTTTCTCTATCTAGATATAAAATTAGAGCTGATTAAGCTGATTCATTTTTCCCTATTGTTAGTTCTGTTCGTGGCTTGTATTTGTAAGTTTGAATTGTTGCGATTCAATTGAATTTGTTTGTCAGCGCAGTGAATTGTTGATGTCGATTGTGTCCATCGAAACTGATTGCTCTAATTCGTCATGGCAGCGAAGCGAGTCATTAAATTTTCCGTGTTTCTTCTTTGATCATTGCTTGGTGGGATTTATCATGTATGTGTGTTGTAAGTTTGCTGCATTGTTAGATCAGTTCATTTGTATCACATTTTATCACTAGTATTGTTCATTGTTTTGACTACTGTCAATTTGACGAACATGCTTATCGCTGTCATTATTTTATACCATAAATATTGAATGCGTCCACAGCAAACTGAAGTTTTGTCGGTTTGACAACGCTTTGATCTCCTCTTCATATTTCTCTCTCTCTCGCTCCATTACTCGTTGTTGGTTTCATTTGCTTATTTCTTGATTAATTCATTATCATTCTGAATGATTTCTGTTCTCTTCTGTTTGTCTTCGTAATCATGATAGGATATTAATTTTTTTCATGATATAAGTTCAAGTATATCATGATCACAAGTTATCCACTGATTGTCTGTCTCATCAGACGATATTTAAAGGTTTGAGTGGTGCCGTAATCCTATGAGTCTTGTTTTTGCTGTTGTTGTTATTATTGTTGATTGATCCAATGGTTAATTCGTTCGCTATCGTTATTTAATCTTTCCAACAGTTCATGTCGTCTTTTCATGAGACTATTTCCACGGCTGTTTGTGCTTTCATTCGAAGTGAACATCGCACTCGTCGTCGACAAATTCTGATAGGTTTAATCAGTAAGCATAGCTCGAGTTTGTTTCGAAAATATTCCATGCTTACAATTAGTATTTTCCAAGCACAGGTCTGTTTGTCTTTCATTCGAAAGCAAAAGTTTGATTTCATCACGTGAATGCTTTCATTCATCTGTTGCAATATGACGACAATCCAAATGATTGCTTCTGTTGCAAAATCTCTTCGAATAGCAGTAGTGGTGTTAATTGAAGTTGCTAGATTCTCACGATTATTGCGACTGGAAGAGATGTCAATTTTTTTTTTGCGCAGAGGGGACAGAAGGGTTGTTATGATTGAGTTTCTAAGAGAATAGCAATAAGATCAACTTATCGTTAGGCTGTCGATGAAGTGAGTTCAAGAATCGCTTAGCTGATAGCTTTGAGCTAGCCTCCTTGATGTTGATTTTTGGCAGATTAGTACGAGGATTCTTAGTGATTCGTCACTGAATTTTGAAATCATTTAAATCAAAATTCAGCTGCCTAATAAATGAAGTGGGCGTAGATATCATCTATTTGTCGACTTTGCTGCTGTTGTTCTGGTTGCGTATGTACCTATGAATTGTATATGTAGGTATATTTTGTTTGTTTTTTGTAATTCATTTTGTGGAAAATAATTTTTGATAGTATCACAATTTTGCGCTATCAATCATCATTATTGCTATTGTTGTGCTGTAAGTGTTGAACTCACAATTTTTGTTTTCATTGAATGTTTGAAGATGAACAATTGATAACTTGTTTTAATAACTCATGATATTGTGAAGTTTCAATTTTGATATTGAGTTTTTAATTCGTGTTCCTTACGAGGTTAATTTTGACTGAACTATTTTGAAGTTATATTGCCGCCGCTGCGATTTGTAATGTTCCATTGTTGTTGTGTTCTAATTTATTGATATTTTCGTGAATTATTAACATTTGTTTTTCTCATATTTTTATCAAATCATTTAATTGCTATGATTATGATTAATAATATAATAATAGTATTATTGATGTTGTTCTGGTGTTTTACATTATAGCACAGCATGCAGCATATGCTCGTCATGTTTTGTGTGTTTGTGTCAACAGTCGGTCGTTTCGGCACCGAATAATCAATATCAGTGGCTATTACGTACCTTTCGAATGTTACTAACGAAATGATTTTTTTCGCAGAGAACCTTCAGAATAGTGCAATCACTGGCACTGAATCTGTTTCACACCAAACAAATACTATAGAATGGCATACTGACGTGTACGGTAAAGAGGCGATTTTGATTGGTTGTTGTTGCCTAGATTGGCATACTGTGGTATACGGTATAGAGGCGATTTTGGTTGGTTGTTATTGCCTAGATTGGCATACTGTGATATGCGGCATAGAGGCGATTTTGATTGGTTGTTGTCAATGATAGACATTACGATATGCAGGCGATCTTGATTGGTTGTTGTCAATGATGCAGTAGTGTACGTAGTGGACGGTGGCGCGTGTTGTTCATTGAGTTGTTCTAGTTATTTCTTCTGTTAGTACGTTTCATTCACAGTGTTGTTCATTGAGTTGTTCTAGTTATTTCTTCTGTTAGTACGTTTCATTCACAGTGTTGTGGACTACATGTGAGTGTTACAGTGGATTACATTACCTGTATTAGGGCGACAACGTTTCTGTTAAATTATTATTGTGGTTATATTAATTAACAGTTTTGTTACATTATTATGATAGTTCTGTTCCGGTGGCATCTATGTTACGATACTCTTATAGTTTTACAGCAGTGAAATTTATATTAAAAGATCACCAAGATTCAGTTGAACTATTGGTTCTGTTGCAATTTTGTTACAGTTAAAGTGGTATTACTTTCTTACAACTACTGTTATTATGCATTTTACATGTACAGTGTGATGCTGATTTTAAGTTGCTAGGTCGTGATATTATTTGCCAGTGGGAAACGTTTGAAAATTTTTCAATGTTGAGTTGATATAGTCGTAAATATTCTCTACGTCATGCTTCCATAGACAATGATTTTGATTTGCAATACATAAGGCCTTGGTGCGTTATGAATTATAGGTGTGCTATGAATATCAGTGCAATATTAATGTGTTATCATTTTATGCTAGCTTTCCAAATGGTCATGAGTAGTTTAGATATAAGAGTCGAATTCGGCTGATTATTTCAGGTAAGTGTTTTATAGTTGGGCCGTAATTTTTCGTGTGAAAGAGATTCAATGAGCAAACGTGAGTTGTTATCCTCCAATCAGTTGTATCATTCGAATGGTGGTATAACGAATCGAGCGTGGTGTGTTCGATGGAACCATAAAGGAGGCGTGTTGGCGAGTTGTGGCGATGATAAAAACATCAAGTTGTGGAAATTAACCGAAGGTGAATTGAAAAACTCAAAAAAACGTTTTGTTCAATCTGGTTCTGCTTCGGAATCTTGCGCTTAAATGCAATATTTTTCAATATTGCTGGTATTCCAGCAAATGCATACATTTCAAATCTTTTATGTCTCTTTTGAGAAATGATCTCGAATGGTTGAGATATGCTGGTTTGATACTATTTCGTATACCTCCTACAACATGGTATCACTGTGTATCTTTTGAAACATTCGATATCGATAATGGTGTTCGTCGTTCTAAGGAGGAAAATTTCATTGGGTTTATGGAGTTTCTTTTGACGGAGTGAGCTGAAGTTGATTTGTGAGATTAATCAATTGTTAGGTGCACCACCCTATGTGAAGTATTCGTCAACACTGAGTGGTTCACATTCGAGAACGATTCGTAGTGTTGCGTTCTCGCCATCTGATCAGATGTTGGCGTCGTGTGGTTTTGATGCAGCGATTGTTTTGTATGAATTGATCGAGTAGGTTGTTCAGCAGTTTACTATCCTTACGGTTGTCATTGTTATCTGTGTCGTTATGGTCACATTGTTAATCGTTGTTGTGATATTATTGTTATTTTGAATGTTACTGCACTGCTTTTATTGTGCCTGATTTATGTTTGTCAACAATTTTCAGTAATGAGTACACTGAAGTGGGGAAATTGGAAGGTCATGAAAATGAGGTGAAGTGTTGTGCGTTCTCACCAAGTGGTGAATTTCTAGCATCGTGTAGTCGAGATAAAAGTGTATGGTTTTGGCAACGTAAGTTGGGCAGTTTCATTCAACTGTACAGATGTTTATGATAGTTACATTGTGAATTCATTTATTTATTTATTCATTCGGAATTTGGCGTTGGCTTTCAGTAGATGAGGATGAGGATTTTCAAGTGGCGTCAATTTTACAGCCACATACACAGGACGTGAAATTTGTTGTATGGCATCCGAACGAAGAGGTCGTTTATTGAGAACGATATTGTTTCAATGCTTGTCTTCTTCTTCATTCATTTTCATCTGAGGTCGTGCGCAGATAATATTACTGATTTAAATGTCTCGAAGTTTTATCAATTGACGATAGATTCAGTTTGATCGTTGATTCAGTTATTGGTGTCGTGTAGTTACGACTGCTCAATCAAATTCTTCAAATACGATGGCGATGATTGGATCACACAACAGAAGATCGATTCGGCACATGGGTCCACTGTATGGTCAGCGGACTTTTCGGCTGATGGCGAATCGTTGGTAACCGTAGGCGGTGATTCTGTGATAAAGGTTCATATCAAATCCATAAATTTCATCTAAAATATCATTTTGCGTAGATTTTGCTGTAAGATTTAGCATTTAGCATTTTGAAGCTGCCGATTTTGTAATTGAAAAGTTGCTTCTAACTTTTGATAATCTATCACCAGATTGTCAGGTTCATATTGTACGTAATGTTGAATGAATGTGTTTTGAGCAAATCAACTGTTAGCTTGTTAACAGTCGTTGTTAGTATGAACTTTTAAAGAAACTGAAATTTGTGCATTCAGCTCTTTTATTTTAAATGGTTCGATTATTTTGAATGGTATATTCAATGAACGGTTGACAGATATGGGAACGAGAGAAACGCAATATGCCAATAACGTCAAGTCACTGGCATTGTGTGTGCTCATATAAAGCGGATACTAGATGGCCTCTTTATACGGTCTCGTGGAATCACTTCAATAATATAATTGCTGTTGGTGGAGGAGACCAGAATTTAAGGTGAATAGATTGAATTTGATTTTATTTCATCAACCAATACTATGAGTGATAAGTTTATGATTGAATTAGTTGACTGATATCATCAGCATTATTGTTGTGGGGTGTAATCGTGTAAGATTTGATAACATCACGATAATGATATCAGAAGCAATTAAGCACTCTTGAGATCATTTGCAATTTCGGGCTATTACAGATAAGTTCTTTTATGATAATGCTTTAGGTGACTGTTGTAAATCACTTTAGTTCAACGTAATCTTATTGATAACTTCATATTATTAATGCGAGAAGTGATATTGGAATTAAATTACAACGATAATATTGCATAATATTTGATGTGTTAACTGGTTGTGTGTTGTGAGGTTGTTGTGCTCTGTGACGGTGTCGAGTGAGTACAATTGGAGAGAATTAGATTACATTCGATTCAGTCATACACATAGTAGTACAGTTGATGATACTATAAAAAAATCAGTTCGAATGACAGAAAGTTGAGTTTCAGGTTGCTTCGGGTCGAAGAGGGCGCTGGTGATGGACAGATGCGAACACTGGTCGAGTATGGAGCGAAACGAAAGTTCGCATCTGAAATCAATTCGCTTGCTTGGAATCCACACGATGCGAATCTTTTGGCGCTGGCCGAAGATACCGGTCAAATTCATATTGTGAATCTTGTGGATATGTAAAATGACTGATATTCAATGATGTTGTTGTTTCATAATGTGAAAGTATAAATAAAATAAAGTGATATCTTAATGGTGCTTTTGAATGATCGAACGAACAAACATGGAAGACGAGTCTAAACACTCTTCTTTGGTGTGGCTGAAAGAGACGACGTGAAACTGAAATAAATAAAGTGCTGAAGAAACGCAACTGAAAATTCTTCAGAGCAAATTCTCACTGATTGTGAGTGTAACGTTTAGCAAATTGATTGCTGAATGACGGGATATCACTACACTACAAAAGAAGTGCCGCCAAAACATTGAAGCGTTCAGAACTGCGGACTAACGCAAGTAGTTGGAGTGTATGGCATAAGTGCCACCTACAGAAATCAGACAATCGTGTTGGAACCCAATTTAACAATAGCAGCTTCATATTTTTAAAATTTTTGAATTTAATTGCATCTTGATACGATTGTTTGCATTACGGTATTGGCATTATGCCAACTTGGCTTCATGCCATAGGTTCCATGTCACTTCTTCACTGCAACAGAAGTTTAGTGTGCTGGAGAGAAGTTTATAGGGATGGGGGTTTTTGCGGGTTTTTTGCGGTTTTTTCCTTTTTTTTTCTTGAAAATAGGTAAATTAGGGCCTAGTAGATGCCCCAGGCCGTGCTTCAAGTCGAAATCGATGTCCAATTGCCGAAAGATGGCCTTAGAAGGTTCGTGAAACAATTTAAAAATTTAATTTTTTTAATGTGGAATAAACTGTGTGTTTATGATTATTTTGTGCGCTATAGTTCTATCGTCTCAAAATTTTCTCTGTGTAGTGCAATTATTGCTGTATTCACTTGTTCTGAATAGATTGATAGTAGTCTTTTGTGTGGCACTTAATGATCAAATGAAATTTTGTATGTTTTGTTTGATTCGGTTATCATTCGTAGTTGAATTATTTGTTTTTGCGGTTGTCATTCAGTT